TCCAGACAGAGATGTCTATGGATCAGAGCTCAGGAGAGAGATCTAGTTTACAGATTTGGAAATCACACAGGTGTTTACAACTCTGGAGGTGAGTAAAACCACCTAGAGTTTAGTGTGTAGAATAAGAGAAAGAGATCAAGATAAATAATTAGCAGATAATTGATATTTGGCAAAGGAGAGGATGAACAAAGCCAGCAAAGAGTGGAAAAGGACCTATCTGAGAGGGAGGAGAAAGAGGAAGGTTATGATAGGGCCAAATGAGGAGACAGTTTCAGGAAGAGGGATGGACAACAATATAAAATACCAAAGAGACAGCAAATGAGATGCAAACTAAAAGACAGTCACTGGATATGGTATCTCTTTCAGAACACGTTTCAGTGGAATACAGGGACAGAAGCCCTCTAATAAAAAATGGGATAGTGAATGGGGAGCGATGAAGAGGAGGAATCAAGGATGAACAGAAGGAACTACTCTCCAACAGGAAACGGAAGTGTAGCAGGCACCTGACAGTCCTGAAAGACTGGCGATTTCTAAGCCAAGCCTCCTGTTGCAAACCTCAGAGAGAAAAGTTCCTTTTATTTGTATAGATCTTTGTTTTTATATCAATTTTGCTTGATCCTCACAGAAACTTTCAAAGTAAGCATGGAAGGATTTTTGGTTTGTTTGTTTTCATTTCTTGGTTTTTAGTCTCCATCCTACAGGAGGAAGTTGAAGCCAAAGATTATATGATTCATTCAAGACCACAGAATCAGTAAGTGGTATAAACTGGGACTCTCAGCACAGTGCTCTTCCCAACACTAAAGGGAATGTTCTGAAAATCAGTACAATGGTGAAGGGGCAACCAGACCACACTTCAGAAATTCAGAAAAGAGAATTCCTTCCCACAATCACTTCTTTGATTGACAACAGACACACTTGGTTGCCTGAATGCCTCTATGACAGCTAAAAGGGAAGTAATTATTTAAATACTGTATCTTCTCTTGAGATGACCTAAGTATGTGCACCCTTTGAAATGTCCCTTTAATATTAGAGGAAGTTCCAGACTTTTCTTATTTTATCAGTATAAACAAGGAGAACATTTGGTTAATATATCTGCCTACCACTGATGCAAGGACACCCCCGCCCTTTTCCTTATGGCGCCAGGTAAAACTGAAGTATGTAGATTAATCAGCCCCAGGCTTGACACTGACAATGTCACTATGATGGAGGAAAAGGAGACCCGGAGCCACTCTCCTTCTCAGTGAACAGGAGTGCTGCCCTTTAGCATAAAACATGAAAGGTTTCTGTAGTTATGCCAGCTCAGCAAGAGAGAAAATTAACCCTACATTTTCTTAACCCAATTGCCCCAACATGGGTTGAGAAAGAGGGTACCAGGGTTATAGACTGTCAGCATGAGAGAGCAGGGATCATTGTATCTGCACCCTGGCATGGGTTTAGAAGGAATTATAGATTCACCAGATATTAATGTATTTTTAGATGCACCATTAATTCTCTAAGATTCTCTGCAAGTCTCAAAAATTTGGTAGAAAAAAATGCCTGTTAAATGATTCTTCTGTTTAAATTTGGAAATGTGTGGCAGAAATCACCATTAAAAAAAAACTGAACAGTTTCAACTATATTAAGTAGAATGTCTCCATTTAATTAATCTTTTTAGTCCCTGGTGACACTGGGTGTGGCTCGGTGAAATTTAGGAGGAATTCAGTTTTATCACTAGAAGGAATCTTCTGCACCAAGCAGCCAGGCAGCATCCTTCCACACCTTTCCAGCATTGCAAGGGAAAGACACAGCCAGGTTGGAATTCTGAACCACAGATCACCCTAAGAATTATCTGCCATATGCAGAAAAATGCAGATGTTGGTGGTGTTGAGGGGTGGGGGATAGAGGGCTTCTTGCTTGCATTGGTATTCTTTATACTTCAGTTACAAATTAAAGTCTTTATTTTTCAACAAAAGAAACACCTCGCAGTTCTATTGCTTTGTGGACACAGATCACATCTTGCAAGTTTTTCATCATCTGCAGAATGCATGGTAATTAAGCTATTTAAAGTTAGCCCCAAGACATTTGAAAATCATAAGCCAATAACATTTCAGGGATCCTTTAATTTTATTTCCTTTTTAACCACTCCTTTATCGTCTACTTTTCTCCACCCCACTCTCATTCTCTTCTTCCTGCTATAATAATCTATAGTGGTAATTAGTGGCTAATAAAGATCATTTATGCTTTCTTCGCAGCCATAGGCAATGCATTACAACTCGGAAATCCAGGACCGCTTCTTTATGCAGCTCAAGTGGAAGAGGAAGGAAGTGCAGCCCCCAGCCCCCTCCCACGTTTCTGCTGGATTTCATGGGTGTGGCAGAGTTTAGACCTTTGCAGGATTTTGCCCTTGTTTTATTCCCTTTTAAGCACTAGGATGGTAAACAGATGGCTGAAGAAAGATAAACACAATCAGAGTCTGTCATAAATGATATAGGATCATTTCACCCTCAAGCACAAAACCTGTGTGAGACTAAGTACTCAAGCTATAGAAATGCCAGTCAGTGCAGTGTGAGCCCACGCCCTGAATACACCATTTCCTTCCATCTGATTTAATGGCATCCTAAATACTGACTTATGTGAATGATACATGGCAATGGTCAGTAGGGGACAGGACCATTTCACACAGAAGTACACATGTATAAAACGTATGGGCAAAAGAGGACTATTTCTATACCTTTCAATTTTCTCTCTTGAATATGAATTATGCTAAAACACATGCCGGCATATGGAAACCATACAGAGTACATGTGTGACTCTACATGAAGTATGCGGATACTGTACACATTTACATATGAATTTCTACAACTCCCTAAACACACTATTTCAGCTTCATCACTTTGCATACATCCTAGTGAATGCTTGGGGCTGTCAGTGAGAGGACCCATGTGAAGGCAGCTGTCCCCTTTGGGGAAGGGAATTTCTTTAGCCTCAATTCCCTTTCAAAATATCGTGCCTGGTTTCCTTTGTCAGAGGGGGCATGTGTATATACACTTGTATGTGTATACATAAGGTGGCAAAAAGTTGTAAGCCAGCATATTTTTTCTTTCCCCGAATTAAAGCTTTTTTTTTTTTTTTTTAAATGACTAGCATTGGTTTCCTTAAGGCTCTCCCTTCCTAAATTTTATTTCTGCAGCTCATCAGGAAGGCAACTTCAGAACATTTTCTTGACAGGGTGCTTAGCCCAGCCACCTGTATCTACTGCATTTATGTATTAGAATGAAGGAAGATAAGGAGAGGAAACGTGCAGGTTTGAAAAATGAGCGAACTGAAGCATCAGTCTCTGGAATCCTAGAGCAGTTTATCGAAGTGCCACATGTAAGACTCTTCACCTTTCCCAAACACCCTTACACAAACCACACGCAAAACCACAGGTGCCTGCTACTTTATCTATCATCTATCTATTAATATCTATCTACCTAGTTATTTATTTAGTTAGTTTTGCCCCCGGCCTCTCCACCCTCTGCACCCACTGCTCTGAGATTCTGCTTCAGTCTCCCTTCCCCTTCCTCTTCCTTCTCCTTCATCCTCACTACCTCGCCCCTCCCCACCGCGCCCCCTTCCTGGGCGCTGGCTAAAAGTGCAAAGCTGGCAACCAGGTTCTTCCCCACCCCTCCACTCTCTTCGGATTCGCCAGGTATATTACAAATTGCTCCCCCCCCCCCATCCAATACCTGCACAGAAATAATGCCCAAATCCTGTATCTTGCACCCCACCCCTGAGGCAGTCAATGTGCAGAGGGCGTTTTTGCCCAAGACAGCCTCCCCTCCCAGGAAGACGCACACACACGTACAAGCACACACTCACCCAAATCCCACATCCATTTTCCTCCTTAACCTTCGCCAAAATCCTTCAGAGGTGTTCCCACCAATGTTGGAAAGCGTCGTTTGGCGGATGCCGCGGCACTGTCGGCTGCTGCGGAATACCGTCCTAGTCATTCCTTCCTACCCTTACCCCAATCAAGTTTCTAAAATATCTTTCACGAAATAAGTGAGCAATTTGAAAATGGAAGGAAAACCTGAGCAGTGGGAGCAGTGGGGGAGAGTGGGAGGGGACTCTGCTTCTTGCTAATCTTCTATGTGTCCCTTTTCCTGATGAAAATGAGTCACCATGCTTATAATCCGAAATGTTAGTCCGTCTTTGGTCACTACAATTCCAGGAAAGATGAAAAGGGGAGAAGAGACCTGATTTCCAACAGGTAATTCTCCGCTCGTCTTTCCCATCCCGCCGGTGCTCAAAGCTCCTAGGGGCGTGGTCCACCCTCTCCTCGGACCAGCTGGTGCACAATCGACTGAATTTTCCCCTTCTACATGGTCAATTTCTTTCCCAGCCCCCGTAGTCTCTGGATTCTCTTTTTAAAATCTCCCACATTACAGTTTCATTCATTCATTGAAAAATAAATTAATTCAACCTTCACATGTTTTCCCATTAATACCTGCGCCAATGTGAAGCTCATGCATGTGGGAAATAGGGCTTCTTCCGCAGCACATGTGAGAAAATTGTACGATAGAACAAGCAGTACTCATTACTGAATATGATTCTTTCAACCTCCCGTTTTTTTGCGAATAATATAAAGGATTGCCTCCCCATCTTGTAGGTAGAGCCAACATTTTCTCCCCCACACCCCTCTTCATATCCACACCGGCAAAACCAGACACCTAAAACGCTGAACATTTACTAATAGCCAAAAAAAAAAAAAAACCAACAACAACAAAAAAAACACCTTTTTTCTAGCCAAACAGGCGTATTTTTTTTTCTAACCTCCTAATTAGTAGCAGCATTCCAAAACCAGACCATGAAAGAACAGAATAAAAGCTGGGATGCAAGCATCAGTTGCCATATGCTAAAAGGAAACGGGAGCACCATGGCCAGAGCAGAAGCGGTTAATATATTTTTTCTACCTTCACAGGGAAATATTGCACACTGGTAATTTCACAACAAGAAGAAGTAAAAATCTTTAGGTCTACCTGTTTGGTTCTTCGCATACAGCACAGCATGGTTGTATCGTCCCTCGCCTTCTTCCTGCCTTCTCTCCTTTCCTCCTCTCTCTTTCTTATTCCCCCCCTCTCCACCTCTTTTCTGCTCGCTCGCTCACTCGCTCTCTCTCTCGCGCTAGCGCGCGCTCTCTCTCTCCCTCCCTCTCTCTCTCCCTCCACACACCAGGGCAGTTAGCAGCGACTGTAAGGTCCACAGCTATTGCTCACCGCACATGCTCGCTCTCCCTCTCTGCCTCTCACTCTCCTCTCTTGCCTCTCTTCCTCTTTTCGCATCTCCCCACCCACTCTCTGCCTATCTCTCTTTTTCTTCCCTGTCTCTGGATCTCTTTCTCAGAATTGTTCTCTAGCTTTCAACGACTAATCACTTCCCCCAGCCCCCACCCCCATTCTAGACAGTCACCCCCTCCCAGTCCCCTGCCAGCCTCATGAATATTTAAACATCTCCAATCTGGACCCAATTACCCACCGACTTTCCCACTGCATTGAGAGGATGGTGGGGTGGGGGCATAAAAGGGTATTCCAGCCTGTTCAAGAGATTTTATGGAATATGTTTTAGAGAAGAGGAGCTTGAGGAATGCTAATATTTCTTTACTAATTCTTTTCTCTTTCCAATACTGTGAAAGCAAAGAACAGCTATTCTGAAAGAGTAGTCAGACCTATACAGTAAGTTATATATGCTATTTAGTTTTAGGCACAGTTAATCATTGTGAGGGTTAAGTTCCTCCCCAAAATGAAACATGTGAATATCATACCCTGTAAACACTGTACTCAGTACTCATATAACTTAAATACATGTGTATAAATTTAGACATGCACAAACATATCTCATACATGCTCCAAAAGCCTTGAAAAACCCACATGAATATACTGCATTTTAAACATTCTAAGCACTCAAGTTCAGAAGTATTAACTAATGTTTAGAATTTAGCATTCATTTATAAAAATCACATGGTAATTTTTTTTCTTAATGCACATACACCTGTTTGAAAATTGGAGTTTCTTCTAATTTTACTGAAAAAGCTGAGCATATTTGAACAATGTATCTATGTAATATGAATAGTGTCTATTGACTGAAGTAAAAACACAATGTGAGAGCTCTGAGTTTCCATTTTACTTTTTCCATTTTACAAAACTGGGGATTTGATAAGGACTATAGCCTGGGAGACAGGCTCTCAGAGAATTCTGAGGAGCTGCTGAGGTAGGTGGGAAGGTCAGCACACAGGTGATCTTGGTGACATATGCTTGGTTTATCTTGGTATAAGGTTACTGCTAGACACAAGGAACAGATACTTGATTGTTTTAGTGCTTTTATCTTGGTTAATGGTTTTAGAGCTTTTCTAAGAATGGAAAGGTGCAACAATCCATGTTCTTTTAAAAATTTTTCCTAAACATATCCATCGGAGGCCAATTCTGCCAGTTTTCTCAGAGCACAGAGTGCTTCATTCCTGATCTCCACCCTGAACTTTCAGGATGTATTAAATGTCAGTGACAGCAGGGCTAATGATGTAACCCTTACAGAGCTAGATGGTTAGTGACATTCTTTGTTTGGCAAGCCCAGAATGATATTTTACAGTTTGGACAAGAAGAATAAAAATAAATCCATCTTTCATGAGAAGAGAAAATATATCATGAAGGCTCTTTCTTCAATTTCATCTATGGTTTTTCATAATTTGGGTGGAGGAAAATATGACTTTAAAGAAAGTATACATGACACAGATTCTAGATATATATAGTGCTGTGTGATCTTGGGAATGTTACTGAACCTCTTTGCACCTAGTTTTCTTTATATATATATATATATATATATATCTGGCTGTGCCAAGTCAGAGTTGCAGCACATGCGATCTTCAATCTTCCTTGTGGCATGCAGGATCTTTAGCTGCAGCTTGGGGGATCTAGTTCCCTGACCAGGGATTGAACCCTGGTTTCTTGCATTGGGAGCTCAGAGTCTTAGCCACTGGGCCATTAGGGAAGTGCCTGCACCTAGTTTTTCAATTGGTAAAATGGGGATAATAATGTCAACCTTGTCAACATGTTGTGAGGACCAAATAATATAATTCATGCAAAGCACAATAAAGTCATTCTCAGTACATAGTAGCTTTACCTCAAATACTGTACCTTTCTGAAATTTTGGTGATGTTTTCAAGTAAATATCTTGAAGAACTTTTCAAACTCTTTCTTGTTGTTCATTAGTGATGATAAGCATTCCCAATTAAAGTAGCTAAAGTGTTAGTCACTCAGTCGTGTCCAACTCTGCGATTCCATTGACCATAGCCTGCCAGGCTTCTCTGTTTGTGGAATTTTCGAGGCAAGAATATTGGATGGGTTGCCACTCCCTTCTCCACAGGATCTTCCCAACCCAGGGATCCAACCCAGGTCTCCTGCACTGCAGGCAGATTCTTTACCATCTGAGCTACCAGGGAAACCCAATTAAATAGCTCATATTCTTTCTAGTCCATCCCCGACATGAGCCTGTTTGATACTTGTCAACCAGACAACTTATTATCATACCTATTATCAAGATCACTAGGCTTAATAGGTGCTCAGTACATTTTGAAAAACTTCAAGGTACACTCACCTTAGAATGGACTATCTCAGAGAGATTCCCAGTAGGGTAATGGTTATAAATTATTCCCAGAGGACTTCTTGAATATGACCTGCTTCAAATCCAGCCTTTCTTGGTCTTTTACTCCTCTCAGTTTGCTTCTTAGTTTTCATATTTAATGATAAAAAAAAATTAGGGTCTGAGTTTAATGTTTTTTTAATATTGTAATGAGACCAGTCAAAGCCAAGTTTTCAAAAACAACCATCTATATATTTAAGTGATAGAAGAGGTAAACAATGGATAAGAAACAGCTTCATCAGAGTCATTCCTGTTGGGATTAGTGTCTGCCTACTTATCCCACTGAGGGCTGGAGGGTGATAAAAGGAGGAAGCAGAGGGATGAAAACTGAGAGCAATAGAGAGAGAGAGAAAAAAGAAAACTTAATTGGGTATTTAAACAGATTCATAGATAAGATCATTGCATCAACACTGTGGCCTAACAAGGACCATAGTTGGCTATGGAAAGGGGCCAACTCCTTTCCCTTTCAATAGACTCCTCAACTCTCCCATTTATATCTTCTTTACCCTTTTATTTGTGGGGAGGAAACTTGGAAACAAAATGGCATGATTAAATCAGAGTCTAGAGTTCAAAATCAGGCACAGGCCTGGATGAACTATGTGACTTAGTATGTTAAACCACCTTTGTTAACCCCAGTTTTCTCAGCAGTTTACATACAATATTTCACCTAATATTCAAAATGAGATAGATAAAATCATTCATTTCATGTTGATGGGACTATTTAAGCTAATAAGTAACTACGGATGGGGGTTCGTGACATTGTACAGGAGACAGGGATCAAGACCATCCCCAAGAAAAAGAAATGCAAAAAAGCAAAATGGCTGTCTGAGGAGGCCTTACAAATAGCTGTGAAAGGAAGAGAAGCAAAAAGCAAAGGAGAAAAGGAAAGATATACCCATTTGAATGCAGAGTTCCAAAGAATAGCAAGGAGGATAAGAAAGCCTTCCTCAGTGATCAGCACAAAGAAATAGAGGAAAACAGTAGAATGAGAAAGACTAGAGATCTCTTCATGAAAATTAGAGATCCAAGGGAACATTTCATGCGAAGATGGGCTCAATAAAGGACAGAGCTGGTATGGACCTAACAGAAGCAGAAGATACTAAGAAGACATGGCAAGAATACACAGAAGAGCTATACATAAAAGATCTTCATGACCCAGATAACCACGATGGTGTGATCCCTCACCTAGAGCCAGACATCCTGGAATGTGAAGCCAAGTGGGCCTTAGAAAGCATCACTCTGAACAAAGCTAGTGGAGGTGATGGAATTCCAGTTGAGCTTTTTCCAATCCTAAAAGACGATGCTGTGAAAGTGCTGCACTCAATATGCCAGCAAATTTGGAAAACTCAGCAGTGGCCACAGGACTGGAAAAGGTCAGTTTTCATTCCAATTCCAAAGAAAGGCAATGCCAAAGAATGTTCAAACTACCGCACAATTGCACTCATCTCACACGCTAGTAAAGTGATGCTTAAAATTCTCCAAGCCAGGCTTCAGCAATACATGAACTGTGAACTTCCAGATGTTCAAGCTGGTTTTAGAAAAGGCAGAGGAACCAGAGATCAAATTGCCAACATCCACTGGATCGTTGAAAAAGCAAAAGAGTTCCAGAAAACCATCTATTTCTGCTTGATTGACCATGCCAAAGCCTTTGACTCTGTGTATCACCACAAACTGTGGAAAATTCTGAAAGAGATGGGAATACCAGACCACCTGACCTGCCTCTTGAGAAGCCTGTATGCAGGTCAGGAAGCAACTATTAGAACTGGACGTGGAACAGCACACTGCTTCCAAATAGGGAAAGGAGTACATCAAGGCTGTATATTGTCATCTTGCTTATTTAACTTATATGCACAGTACCTCATGAGAAACGCTGGGCTGGATGAAGCACAAGCTGGAATCAAGATTGCTGGGAGAAATATCAATAACCTCAGATATGCAGATGACACCACCCTATGGCAGAAAGTGAAGAAAAACTAAATAGCCTCTTGATGAAAGTGAAAGAGGAGAGTGAAAAAGTTGGCTTAAAGCTCAACATTCAGAAAACTAAGATCATGGCATCCAGTCCCATCACTTCATGGTAAACAGATGGGAAACAGTGGAATCAGTGGCAGACTTTATTTTTGGGGGTTCCAAAATCACTGCAGATGGTGACTGCAGCTTATTTCTTGCAAGGAAAGTTATGACCAACCTAGACTGCATGTTAAAAAGCAGAGACATTACTTGAAGAAAAACTAAATAGCCTCTTGATGAAAGTGAAAGAGGAGAGTAAAAAAGTTGGCTTAAAGCTCAACATTCATAAAACGAAGATTATGGCACCTGGTCCCATCACTTCATGGCAAATAGATGAGGAAACAGTGGAAACAGTGATGGACTTTAT